CATGAGGTAACACGTAACAATCACAAAATACAAGCCTGAGATTTTATTGAAGTCACGTGGCTAGCTCATTCGTGCTGGATTGGGATGCACATTTCCCCCAAGTAGCTGGGACACAAGGAAATGGCAGATGCTTGAGCCTGGAAGTTTTACCACTGTAAACACCTTTAACTTAAAAGTCATTATGGAAAGGTGGTAAGATGTTTCTCAGTTTTGCCTCTTTTAAGGCCTGTACCTTTGGGAAGCACAAATATACCCTTTCATGTACCATGCGATTAGCAATAATTGTTATCATAGCTGTGTAGAAATCTTCACGTAGTTTCTATTCTTAAAAAAATTTTTAGACTTCGTTAATAGATTTTCTAAAGTGTAAATATATTGACAAGAATTAGTTAAATGAAGACAAAATTTGCCTTTTAAGGACAAATTGCCTAAACTTGGCTGTAGTAAGTTTAGGAAACAGTGTTAGTGACCACAAGCAGATACTTATTACTGGACATTTATGTGCATCTCATTTATACAATAACAACATTCCTTTTTAATCACAACTAATAGATATAGATCAAGTTTAAATGTTAGGGCCAGATTTAAAGACGTGTCAAATTCAATCATGTTTAAGGTCTTAACATTTATAAAAGAGACCAGGTATTACTTTATATGTATTATGTAACGTACTGATGAAAGGTTAACTCTGTAGACTTACTTTATAGGGTAGCTTGTTTTTAGATGTGAACATGCACACATGTCCACATGGATGTTACGTCATAAACTGAATGGTTATTTAATCAGTCATGGACTGATTACCGAAAACTTAGGTTACCATTTAAATACTTTGATTCCTAAAGCTCACTTTTTAGTAACCAAAAAAGCCTAATGATGAGAACACAAACATTTTGGTAAAATGACCTTTTGCCTTTAAATTTAGTTTTGTAAGTTTACCAGGAGCATTTCAATATTTTATAAAACCAGAAACATTTCAATATTTTATAAGATAGAAAACCTAACCTTTTAATTATAGCCCCAAACAGTTACTTTTGACATTCCATTATAACAGATGACGCCTATTTAAAGGATTGGGATGCACATTTCATCACAAGTGGGTAGAACCCAAGTAAGATCCAAGTGCATCCCAATCCATGTTTGTTTCCGACTGTGTGCCATGCACAGGCAGTAATAGACTTTGCATTCATAAGACTGATTTTTGATATTATTTTGGTTACCTAAGAATCTTGATGGAAATGTTGCCAACCTTAAGGGTGAGTCAGCTTGCTGTTAAGCTATGTGAACTGCAAGCATTTGAGATAGTGTCTTGAGTGTTTATCTGTAAGCCACCCTAAGTTACACTTCTGGAGGATAACATATTCTTGAAATATAGTCTGTTAACACAGAAAAACATATACAGATTACTTGAAATCATATGTAACACTTTTAAGCTTTTATTCCTGTTTAAGCCTCAAGCCTATCAGTCTCTATATGGTAATGGTTAAAATGAGGTCCCCCCCCCCCAGCCTATGCAAATGCTTTACTTTGGAAATCTCAAAAACAACCAAAATAATAAAAACAATAAGAAATTGTTGAGCTCAAAAACATGCTTTTCTTAAATGAGGCAGCTGCATATGCCTTAACTGGTTATTAGCACACACTGAATAGACAGATGGACAAACAAACTCATAAAACACTATTTTAAGTTGGAGTGCACTCTCATTTACTGGCCAAATACACAACGACACTTGTATAGTTTTTAGATTTGTAATTATAAATATATTAGTCAGAACTTTCCTTTGTAGTCTTCCATTAACAGAGGTCTCCTGTGAAAAGAGTCACAAGGCAGAAACCCTTTTTACACCTGTGAGAGCAAAGAGAGAGTGAGAGGTCAGTCAGCGGATTCCCTCTAGATTTACGTCAGTGGGTATCTTCAGCTATCACCTGATATGCCAGTCATATCTGCAAGTAGAAGGGCAGGATCCCACCCACCTGAAAAGGGGAGCCGCGGCATCCGGTAGGCTGCATTTATGCCCTTTGGTTTAGAGACATGAAGGAGCAGTTTAGAGAACCTGCCTTACCAAAACCTTTCCCGAGTCGCCCTCTCTGATCTTTAGTAGCAACATGCCACCCCCAAAAAGTAAAGGGCAAAGTGTCAGGAAGAGATTAGAACTATGAGTTTTAATAGTGCAAGAGGTTTTCTCCTCATATCCTTGTGGTGAATTGATAAGACAGTTTATTCAGCAGAAGTCGTTACTCTCAGTTTTACATGCTGAGAGTTAGGTACTACAAGAATTAAAAGTTGTCCCCTCACCATTGGAGGATTAAACAAGAGGGGAAGCCGAGGCTGAGCAGGCCCGACATTCTCTTCCATGGGCATGGAAGGGGCATATGAGGCCAGACTCCAGAGAAGCCCGTCCTCCCACATTTATGGACAGTAATCCCACTGATAGTTTTTAGTTGGATGAGACCCGTGACCTATTTTAAGATTAGTACAGTTTTTTCTTGATGGGCTAGATTCTGTCTAAAATTTACTCTGAAGATACAGTTTCCTTGAAAAAAAAGTAGAGGAGCTTTAACATTACCTTTCACCTGTGCTGCTTTCTAAACTAAGACAGTAAACCGTCTCTTCACCGCCAACAAGGCAAGCGAGGAATACAAGTAAATTCAGCAACTGCTAAGTCTAAATGCAGCATACACAAAACAGGAAGAGATGGTCCTGCCTGTCAAAATAAAAATGTCCCATCACAGAAACTTAAAGATTATACATCACAATCTTCCATGCTCTCAACTTAAATCTATCATTCATGTAATAAAAAAAAAAAAAAAAAAAAAATGACGCATGAGCAACTGGCCAGCAAAAGACAATTTTTGATTGTCTAAGTGAGTCACAACCCAGAATCCAGTCAAGATATTTAAGGGTGCCATGAAAGAAAAGCAAATTCTTCCTTCCTTCTGAAGGTCCCAGAGGGACTCCAGAGTGATACCGGGGAACTCCCAACCTGCCAGGTGTCAGGTGTGCTGAGTTTGCGTCCCTGGACATGAAAGAATGACTTCCAAAGGACAAAGGAATCAGAGTAGATCAGATTTATCGAGGAACAGGAATAGCTCCTGAGAGACAGGAGGGGTCCAGAATGGGTTACCCCCTGACAAATTCTAAGAAGTAGAACTGGTAGCATGAAGGGGGCAGGATTTCTGGTTCAGTATGTATTGTCCCGCTGCTCTACCTACGTGGTTCTAACTTATGTCCCTGTGAACAGAGCAGGAGAATATCTCCTCAATGTAGTTTTCACATTTTTTGGTGTCTTTGTCCATCTAAGTAAAAATGTTATACTTGGCATTTCTCTTAGTATGAATGAGTTTTATAATTTTTTGATGTATCTAAAAGGCATCTGTATTTTTATTTCTGTGAATTGTCTGGGTAGGTCCTTTGTCTTTCTTTTGAGCTGTTTGTTGGTTTCTTTTCATTACTGTTGATCTTTTTTTCTGTATGACATATTTACCAAATGCTTTTTCTTACTTGTTTTTGACTTTGTGGTGCTCTTTTTTTAAAATATGTATTTAGTACAGGGTCTGTAGGGTTTCACTGTGTAGATTGGACTTGAGGTGATTCTCCAGTTTTCAACCTCCCAAGCGCTTGGAATATAGGTGCATGCCACCACACCCAGTCTCAATTGCTGTCCCTGCACGCGCTGGGGGCAGGGCTGGCACGGCTCGCCTGGGATCGAACCCCTGCCACTGTGCTCTGCCTAAGCAGGCCCTTTAGTCTGCTGAGTTATCTGGCCAGCCCAACTTTGTGGTACTCTTTAGCATGTATATATGCTTTTATTTTTTGTGGTACTGGGTATTGAATCCAGGGCTTTTCTACCCTTTAATCAAACTGCATGGTTAATCCAATACCTTGTAATCCATACTGATAAAACAGTTAGAAGAGAAAAAATAGTTTTTAATATTTTGCTCATAGAAACTTTTTTGGAATGACTGCCCAATAATATCAACAAGTGTTATAGAGCCTGCTGTAAGGAACACTTACTGTCCACCTCAGAATTCCTTTGGGAGTTGTTATGAAGTCCGTAACCTTTAGTGTATATTTAGGTTAAGAAGGAATCAGGAGAGAAAAAAAAAAAAAGGAATCAGGAGAAAAGTTTGAAGAGATCAAATTTAGCAAAAATGAGGCAAGTTAGAAAGTAGTTTCCTAGTTGCTTTGCTCTTAGGCTTTTTGTACCTCCAGATCCAATCTGAGGTTTTTTGAGCACTATTCTTTGTTAGAACAAAATCTCAGGGACTTACCATGCTTTCTTCCTTTTCATTGCCTTATTTACCAAGTTTGGGGTGTGATTTAATGCTTGCCAGCATTGGCTATGAAATAAGATAGTCTCTGTATCCAGTGCCTTTCGTTGTCCCTGCAGGTAGGAACATAAAACATGTAGTTTATCCCTGATCACTTTTTGTGTACAAATAAGGGATTAAAAATTAGCAAATATGAAGAAGTTGCAAAATGCAAGAAAATATTATGTTCTTGTAATGATGGGCGGTAGTTCTGGATCTGCTTCTGAGATGGCAGAAGGTCATCAGCTGGCTTCGCCTCTGTGCAGTATTATCCTGGCCTCACCTTCCTTCCTCCCTCTCATCTCCCTCTTCTCCAATTGAGGGCAGACCCCTAGGCTTCATGTACTGGGCAAATACTCTATCAGTGAGCTGCATCCGAAGCCCAACTCTCAGCCTTTGCACCTGTGCTCAGGTTTACCGGCCACACCGACTCCTCCCTCTGTGCAGGCCTGATGATCTTTATTATTAATTTCCCCGTAGAGCTGGTCAGGCAGAGCAGTTGGTGATCCCTTGTACCAGGAGTGTTCTAGAAGCTTGCCTGGACGCAGCCGTACCTTCTTCACTTTTGTCTCAGGATAGTGGTCTTTTCCCCTTTTCTGCCTAACCTTTCTCCCATGTCTTAGCTGACATTAATATTTACTTTTATTCACATTTTTGATATTTATATTTTAATATTTTTTATTTGTTTTTAGGTAAAGTTTGGTAACACTACCTTTAAAACAGATGTGTACCTCAAGTCACTCAACCCTCAGTGGAATTCAGAATGGTTTAAATTTGAGGTAAGATTTTAAAAGTCAATTTCTTTAGTGTATTTTTTGAGGTGATCCCTTTCCTCTATGAATGCTAAGAGTTTTTGTTTCAGGTATAGTAATTTTTATACATCATAAAAATTTTCTTTCTTTCACTCCTTTAGGAATATTGAGTCTTTAAAACATGCTAGTGAAGAAAATACAGTAAATAATAATACAGATGAAAAATAGAAGTCCTCAAATATAATATTATTGTAGTTTTCTTTAGATTTTGGCATATATCAAAAATCAGTTAAGAACAGTACACAGATTTAAAGTCCTCTCCCCCCCCCCGATTTGGTAACCTTCAGTTAATGTGTTTATGGAGGTTGAAGTGGCCTAGGTGTGCTGGAAAAAATAGAACTTCAGATTCAAAAGTTCAGTGCTAAACTGAGATCCTGAGTTTACACAAAAAATATGTATCTCATTGTGGAGTCACAGTGTCTGTCTTTTATTTATTATTTCAAAGTGTAGTGTGACTGTGTTTCTCAAAAGAATGATCTCACTAGAGTAACTTCCTAATCAGCCAGTAACTTCTGCCCAAAGGTTTCCAGCCAGATGGACTGCTAAGGAAAATAATTTCTGGTTTCCAATAACATCAGCCCTTTTAAAAATAGGGAACCATTTTGTCTGTTAGAACAGTGGACTAGGAACTAGTGAGTTCTTTTTAATTTTACTTTTGAGATAAGCTAAAAAACAAATTGGCCATATGTGAATGGACTTCTTCCCATTAATCTATGTCTCTTCTGATGCTGTTACTGAATTATTTTGATAACTGTAGCTTTGTAGCAAGTTTTGAAATCAGAAAATGCCTCCAACTTTCCTTTCCTTTGTGCGTTTAGTTGACTGTTTTTTTTTTTTTTTTTTTTTTTTTTTGTACTGGGGATTGAACCCAGGACCTTTTGCTTACCAGGAAGGCACTTACGCCACTGAGCTATAGCCCCAGTCCTTAGTTAATTTTTGTTTTGATGTCCTACTTTTTTTTTTTCTCCTGTGTATGTGTACAGGTTCTCCTTTCAAGCTGCGCTAAAATACTTATGTATATTTTAACTGGGCATGGTGACAGATGCCTGTAATCCCAGCACCTGGGTACTGAGGCCAGGAGTATTGCCATGAGTTTGAGGCCAACCTGAGCAACATAGCGAATTAAAGGCCTGCCTGGACAGCATAGCAAAGACCCTGTCTCAACCCCCACCACCCCCAGTGCCATAAACATTAAAGATCCATCGTTAAGATGTTTTCAATTTATTGTGTCATTTTGAACTACATTACCCTATTAAGGTAAAAATATGGACTAGGAGAATTAGAGAAAGTAAGCAAAGTACTTACATGATTTCTGATGGAAGTCCCAATGTGCATCTGTCTGTTGCCCTTGGTACCAAAGCACTTGAATGCCTATGTGATTTTGATACCTTCCCGGGAAAAGGGTTGAAACAAATTGCCTTCAGTAATGAGACGGCTCTTAGAATGGGAGGGAGTCAGACTTCATCTGCTGGAGTAATTTTCATGATACTAATGTTACAGAAAATGTCATATAGACCAGATGTGGTGGCACTCACCTGTAATCCCAGCACGCTGGGAGGCTGAGGCAGAAGGATCACGAGTTCTAGTCCAGCCTGAGCAATTTACAGACCATGATGCAAAATTAAAAAATCAAGAAGGGTTGGGGAGTGTAGCTTAGAGTGAAGGTCCTAGATTCATTTTCCAGTACTGGAGAACAACTTTGGCTTTACTGGTGGATGATGCAGTACTGGTAATCTTTATGGCTAAAGAATTCTCAAGTAGCTTATTTAAAAATATAAAAACTAATTTATTTTTCTGAAGTAAAACATCTTTGTAATGTTAATGAGTTAAAAAGTAAAGTTACCAGTCATTTGCCTTAAAATTTTGTAGTTTTGGATTACTAATTATAATGCATGAGGTATGAGAAACGTGCTTAAATTTTGTTTATGATTAATATCAATTATGAAGTTCTGATTTAGACCTGTTTTCAATTGTAGATTACATTCATTTATATGTGTTTTGAACAGTCAAGGTGTCAAACAAAATAGACATTTGTTTTTCTCTCATGGAAAACACATTGAGCCGGGCAGTATAAAGGTAGCATGGTACCTCCTTGTAGTTGTTTGGGGCCCTGGAGCCCTTCTATTCACCTTCTCATCCATATGCATGGTATCTATGGCTTCTTTTTATAACATCTCAGGCTCATGCTAGCTTCCTACTTAGCAGCTGGAGTTCCAGAGATAGTGTCAGTTTGCCAGGCCGGCATCCTATATTCAAGGAACTAGAACAAAGCAGAGCATAGAGGGAGCAGAGAGTGAATATACTTCCTTATTTTTTGAGACAAGGTCTTGCTGTGTAATCTAGGCTGGACTTGGACTCCTATGTAGCTTAGGTTGGCCCCAACCTCATTGCAGTCCCTCCTGCCTCAGCCTCCTGAGTGCTGGTATTATAGGCATGTACCACCACACTCGACATGGACACATAATATACACCTTTTAGCTGGACAAGAAAGACCTCAAGTTTTCTCTACCTTACTAAACTCTGTATTGTTTGTATCTTACCATTTGCCAGCAAGGCTAGGAAATACAGGTTTTGAGTGAGACATACTGCTAAGCGGCTAAAATTTAAACATCTAAAACATTTCTAAGGAAGACTTGGTTGACTGGGTGCCAGATGGAACCTGGGGCCTCGTGCATGCCAGGCATTTGCTGTACCACTAACTTTGGCCTCAGCCCCTATTACAGTGACTGTATGTTCTTTTTTCACATTTGTGCTTATGGATGAGTCTAAGATTCCTGTTTTAGAAATAAATCATTGTTTTCATTTGGTATATAATGTGTGGTGATTAAGATCTTAAAACTGTGAAATTTAATATCAGGCTGTACTTTTAGGTGGATGATGAAGATTTACAAGATGAACCTCTGCAGATCACGGTCCTGGACCATGATACTTACAGTGCAAATGATGCCATCGGTAAAGTGTACATTGATATTGATCCTCTACTGTATAGTGAAGCTGCTACAGTCATCTCAGGATGGTTTCCAATTTATGATACCATACATGGTAAGCAGTGATATTTTAAGAAAGGAATTGACAATCTTAATCTTGCCAATCTTAATCTTTTGTTTTTATCCTTAAAGACCTTTGTTTTCTATTTGGTGCTTCTAAAATACATATCTCTCTATAAGATGACCTTTAAAAATAGATAAGAGCATGCCTGTAAACGCAGCACTCTGGAAGGCTGAGGCAGGAGGAATGCAAATTCAAAACCAGTCTGGGCAACTTTAGAGCTGTTGGGAGGGCTTGTCTCAAAAAAAAAAAAAAAAAAAAAAAAGAGGGAAAGTGCTAGGAGTGGGTTCAAGGTAATGGCCAGTTCAATCCCCAGAACCTTTAAAAAAAAAATAGTAAAATTTTGTTGATAGAACTGTTACTTCTCTGAACATAGATTAATTCTTCCTAAAGTTTTGCGACATAGTAAGTAAATATATTTAAAAATTATCTTAAGGTAATAGAATAAAGCTTGGAGGAAGAATACTTATTTGATATGTTTGAGGCCCTGGGTTCAATTCTCAGCATTACAAAAAGTATTGGTACCCTGTTTCTAAAACACATTTTCAAGCTGGTAAATTAATAGTATTGATCCTGTTTTGATTAAAGATTCTTTAGAAACTTTTTGTTTAGAGCAAGGTTCCCAAAGTATGGTCTTTTTTCCAGAACCAGGGATTGAACTCAGGCCCCTGTGCTTGCCAGGCAAGCACTTATTCCACTGAGCCATCTCCCCAGCCCCATCCGAAGTATGGTCTAACAATATACTTGGTCCCCAAAATGCTTTTCTGGTCTGTGAGTTGAGAAATGTTTTCGGCATAACATTCATGTTGTTCATTTGTTTTATTTATTTATTTATTTATTTATTTTAATTTTTAGTTTTTTTGTATTTAGGGAAGAGTTTACAGGGTGCTCAGGGTCCCACTACTACCTTGGACTCATAGTGGTCCACCTGCTTATAGCCTCACAAGAACTGGGATTACAGGCGTGCACCACCACGCCCAGTCTCAATTGCTGTCTCAGTGCGCCCCGGGGGCAGGGCCCGCTTGGCAGGCCCAGGGATCAAACCCTCGCCTCTGCACCTGCTTGCAGGTGCTTTAATCCACTGAGCTATTTGGCCAGCTCTTACGTTCATTTAAGGTTAAAGAGCTCATGTGACCAAAATGTTTGGGAAGCTCTAGTCTAACTGTGCAGCTTCTTTATGATGAATGGACCTGTTCGGAACTGATAATTGTCTCTCCAGCCTTGAAGTTTTTCTGCAATGATTTTACATTTCTGGTCTAGCAATTTAATTGATAGGAACACATAAGCAAGATGTTTATAATAAAGTAAAATGTTTGCTGAGGTTTATGTTGTTTATTGTGACATTAATATTTTATTTATTTTTGTATTTTAGGGAAGGATCTACAGGGTGTTCAGGGTCTCACTACTAGACCAGACTTTGGTGATCCACCTGTTTACAGCCTCCCAAGAGCTGGGATTACAGGCGTGTGCCACCATGCCTAGTCTCAGTTGCCCTCTCAGTGTGCCCCCGGGGGCGAGGCTAGCACAGTAGGCCTGGGATTGAACCCCTGGCCCCTGCACCTACTTGCAGGCACTTTAATCTGCTGAGCTATTTGGCCAGCCATTAATATTTTATTATTTATTAATATTTAAAATAATAAAACAAGTGTAAGAACTAGATTTATTTAGACAAATTAGGGCATATCTATCTTGAGTTATACAGTTAAAAAGAACATGTTTTCAGAAAATAGTGAATAAAAAAAGTATATGATATATTATTAATTGCAAAATTCTTGTTATGCAACATTAAAAGATCTCAAAGATGTTTAGAACCCAAATAATTGTATATTGTTTTAGTATCATTGGAGAAACTGACAGAATATGTGATAAAATGTTTACACTTTTAACTGGATCTGACTTTCTCTTCCTCTCTTCCTGTCCTGCTTTCCTTCTCTCCTGTCCTTGTCTTCTCTTTGTCTGTCCTTGTCCTTCCTTCCTCTCTTCTCTCTTCTTTTTTTTTTTTTTTTTTTTTTTTTTTTGCGGAACCGGGGATTGAACTCAGGCTCTTGCGCTTGCCAGAGAAGCACTTATTCTACTGAGCTAACTCCCCGGCCCCCCTTTTCTCTCTTTTTAAGACAAGGTCTTGCTGTGTAGTTCAGGCTGGCCTTGAGCTCGTTGTGTAGCCCACGCTGCTCTCGAGCTCATGGAGAGCCTCCTGTTTCAGCATCCCGAGTGCTGGGATTGCAGGCCTGTGCAGCGCTGTGCAGCGCTGTGCAGCAGTGGTGTCAGTTCTGGATGGCATTGCTATTCTTCCTTGTCCTTTCTCACTTTTTCCCTTATTTTCTATGAAGTTATATGTATTACCCGTGTAATCAGGAAATAAAACTCCAAGCAGATATTGTGTTACCAATTTAAAAACTATGCTGTGGGATCTGGCGATTTGCGCCTGTTGTCTGAGGTACTCAGGAGGCTGAAACAGGAGGCCTGCTTGAACCTAGGAGTTCAAGGTCAGTGTAGGCAACACGGCAAAATCATGTCTCAAGAAAAGTGAATGACTGAATGAAGGAATGAATAAATAAAGATAGTGAAGAACTAATCTTGGCTTGGATTTAAGCAATAAATAGCTATATGAATGATAATTTCCCATTTAATGTTAAATGTTGTTTGTGGTTGATTTAATATGTTTATGTGCTCTTCATTGGGAACGTAATCTCTTATTATAGTAGATAAGTAGATTACTCTCCTTTAGTCTTCTACCGTAAGTAAGAATTTAATATGAAGTGAGGGCCATCAAGTGAAACTGCTTAATAAAGCTTAGAGGTACCAGCTTTTTGTTTTTTTTTTTGGTACCAGGAGTTGAACTTAGCACCTCATGCTTGCCAGGCAGGTGCTGTGCCACTGACCTATATCCCTGGCCCATAAGGGCATGTTCTAAAGTTCTTATTCTTGGAATTTATAAATTAATTTACATTCATTGAAATGAATAAAACTTCTCTTGTTGATCCGAATCTTGCATTAATTTTTAAAAGTATATAGTCTGTGATCACAAAGATCTGACTTTTAATCCGGATCTGCCATTTACTAGCTGTTGACATTACATAAGATATTTAATTTTTATTGACTATAGTTTTTTTCATTTGTAAAATGGGAGTGATACTGCTACAGAAATTACTGCGTTGATGTGATCCCTGTAAGATACTGTATATAAAACTTCTAGTACATTGTCTGTTAGTGCTCAAGGTTGTCATCATCAACTTCATCATAAACTGGAGTGGGACTCCTTTCCCTTAACTCTTGGCTTAATAAATGGAGGCTTGTAATAGCGAAAGTTATTCATTCTCCTGTGCATATGTGTATTTGCTTCAGAAGATGTAACAAAGCAACTCTTGGGAATGAAAATAATGAGGTTATTACTTTTATGATACATTATTTTAAAATCATTAATTGCCATTGATTTGTATTATTATTAATTGTACATTATTTTTAGAAGATGGTAACTTGAGTTTCCCTGTGATTATGTAGGTATCCGTGGAGAAATCAATGTGATCGTCAAAGTAGACCTCTTCAATGATTTAAATAGGTTTAGACAGTCGTCATGTGGAGTCAAATTCTTTTGCAGTAAGTAAATACATTGTCTTAAGAGAAAATTTAACAATTTTTAAATATAGAAAATCAAATTGGTATTTCAAAAGGCTTATAGTGGATGTGTTGTATTTTGATTTTAATACCAAAGAGAAATTTTAAAATTTTCCAGTAATTCTTGTAGTTCTGTGGCTGTCTGATTTGAGAGTAAATAGCATCTATTTTTACAAGTATGTGGGAATCTGGGTGAGAAAATTCCAGTGAGCCGCGTATGTAGTACATGCCTGATATCCCAGCCCTGTGGGAAAGTGAGGCAGGAGGGTTATAAATTTGAGCCCACTTGGGTTAGGTTAGCAGCTTAATGAGACCATGAAGCAAATGGTCTCATTTAAACATGTGATTCTTGGGCTGGTGAGATGGCTCAGTGGTCTAAAGCACCTACTTAGAACAAGCTTAGCAAAGCACAGGGACCGCGGTTCAATCCCCCAGCACCACATGCCGGCCAGCCCCGCCCCCTGGTGGGCTGAGCTGGCCACACACACATAAATAAATAAAATTAAATAAATAAATAAATAAAATAAACATATGCTTCTATAAACATGCATGTATCTCTGTAGTATGATGTCTTTTAACTTTCTGAAGAAGGTTTCTAATGGAGGAATAACTGGACTGAATGGACCTAAGCAAAGCAAGGCCTTAGATGTGAGAGAGCAGAGCTGAGGAGAAGTACCAGAGGATCAAGATGCCACGTGTGCATGTACTGATTCCTCATGATCACTGCATTTACTATGGATGGCAAAAAGAGACTAAAAAACATGGAAGGAAAAAATTGGCTGGGAGTACAGTTCAGAGAGAAGGTCCTGGATTTAGACCCCAGTACTTCAAAAAGAAAAAAAAAACCTAGTTATATTTTACTTTCTTTCTTTCTTTCTTTCTTTCTTTATTTATTTATTTATTTATTTATTTATTTTTTGTGGAACCGGGGATTGAACTCAGGCCCTTGTGCTTGTCAGGGAAGCGCTTATTCCACTGAGCCATCTCCCCGGCCCTGTTTACTCTAGTTTAGAGTTGTGCCGCATGTGAGCAGAACACTATGGCCAGGCATGTTACCCACACCTCTACCCTGTGAAGGCAGAACTGCGCGATACATGTGAGTTGGACGTGATCGCGACAGCTCACAGTTGAAAATCTACGTAGCTGAGTTACTTTCGGTGCACAGTTGTCTGTTTTAGAGACCAGCATGGTGCAGATGTTCTCATGCTGTACCCTCATTGACTCAGACCAGGTCTTATTTAAATATTGATACATTGATTGAAATGAGTCTTTCTGACCACATACTGAAGGAGACTGGCGTCTATACTGACCACAGGATCAGTTGGCCCTATGACCATGGGTTATTAAAAACTGCAGTGCTGTGTGATTCCTTGGGCTATGTCAGAAAGGTAGTACTTTGCTATTCGTGGTATGCGTACCACGGATGTGGTGTATGGAAGAACTTTGATTAAGGGAAAATTTTAAAAAGCGAAAGATTTATATGATCTGAAGAGAAACCAGAGAATATGAGAGTTTAAAAAATGCATTGTTGTGAATTGTGCTGCTATAAACATGTGCTTCTATAAACATGCATGTATCTCTGTAGTGTGATATCTTTAAACCTTCTGCAGAAGGTTTCTAATGGAGGAATAACTGGATTGCATGGAATTTCTGTTTTTTAGTTTTTTGATGTAAAATGCACTGGTTTAAATTCCCAACAATATAGAAGAGTTTTCTCCCTATCAGTCTCTTCAGCATTTTTTAGCTGATAAAATACAAAAATTGTATAGATATATGTGATAATTTACATTATTTTGAGTTTTGGAACTTTGTGTAAGATTTATATCTAAGTTACAAAAATTGATACTTATTGTACTTCCATGACAAAAGGGAGAGCCTTTGTGCAAAAAATAATTATTTATAACCATAAAATGGATATTAGAAGACTGTAATTAAAAAGAAGATTATGATTGGAAGTATTATAAATACACTGAGACTGTCATAATAAAAGGTGTTATATATATCCAAAAGGTAAGAACTTAGATGTATATTTTTAAAAATTGAAACTTAACCTGTCAAAAACAGAAGTGTAATAGATGATGTCCTTTAACAGCAACATCTATTCCCAAGTGCTACAGAGCTGTAATAATTCATGGATTCGTAGAAGAACTAGTGGTCAACGAAGACCCAGAATATCAGTGGATTGATCGCATTCGTACACCACGGGCATCAAATGAGGCCAGACAGAGACTCATTTCTTTAATGTCAGGTATTTCAGTAAAATAACTTCATTAATGATTGATAATGCTCTTAAATTTTTCACTTTTCCTTTGGAAAGCTTTGTGGACTTTCACAGTGAAAGCTGTGAGTTATAAGTGACTGAGTCTTTACTCCTGGCCCAATTTTAATGAACATGTTTAACAGGTAGAGGTCTGTAGCAGACACTTGTGGTCCCTCCCTAGCTGAGCAACAGAAGGAGATAGTGTTGATGAAATAAGGCAGTGGAGTAAGGAAACTGAATTCTTGTTTTCTTAGCAGTTAATTGTGGCCTGAAATTTGATCAATCACTTGCTTCAGTCTTTAATAATCTCTGTTCAAAGGTTATCTCTCCATAGTTCTTTCTTGAGAACTCTTTTGTGTCCCTCCCTTTACCCCTTCTATCCATTTACCTGCTACTTCATTACATTTCCTTTGTTTTCTTTGAACAACTCATTTACCACCTAACATTTGTATTATTTGTGTATATGTGTGAAAATATCTTCACATAAGATGCAGAAGTATAAATTTATATATGATAGATATGTATTTGTCATCTGTATTTGCTGTTTTATATAATACGTACATACATAATAGTGTATAATAATAGATTTATGTTCTATATTCTATATCTTTTAAGCTTGCAGGATATGTAAATACATAGGTTTACTTTCTTAGTGTCATTTTGCCCCACCAGTCTGTCAGCATCACTAGATTTGGAGCTTTGTCTTTCCATGTGTCTGTGTCTCTGTGGCACTTAAAAGAAGGCAGAGGGCTGGGGGCAGCTGTGATGGAGCGCTTGCCTAGCCCGTGAGGCCATGGGTTTCATCCACAGCACAGGGAACAGTCAGAAGGGAAGAGTGCTGACACATAGTACAGAACCAGAAAGTATTCAGTGCCCGAGGTGCATGAGTGAGCTAGTCTGGTCACACGTATAAAATACAGCTCATGAATCCTGTTTCTGGGGAGGTAGGAGGCTAGACAGATAATCTTTTCAGTTCTCATCAAGTTCTAAAAATCTGTGATTTTTAAACATGTTTTCTTTCATTTTTTCTATCACAGTTGTGTAGTATGTTTTGTAGAGAGGTGAAGCAAAGTGAATTTTCTTTATTTTTTTTTATAGGTGAACTGCAGAGGAAGATTGGCTTGAAAGTACTTGAAATGAGAGGCAATGCAGTTGTCGGGTACTTACAGTGCTTTGATCTGGAGGGAGAGTCTGGGTTAGTGGTACGAGCCATAGGAACAGCGTGTACTCTGGATAAATTAAGTAGCCCAGCAGCCTTCCTTCCTGCATGTAATTCCCCATCCAAAGAAATGAAGGAGTAAGTATGCATCAATGAAATGGTTCTTATGGAGAGTTTTATCTTACCTATACGTTTACCTTTGATTTTAGTAGTGTTGTTTAATATTCATTTTTTCCTACTATGCTTTTTCTTATCAGAGATGACTTCCAAAATTTAGAACTCAAACATATTTTGATATTCCCAGTGTTTTATTTATACTCTTGGTATGAAATGCAAATTAAGTAATGTGAAATTAAACTATTTCAGATCCTTACACATTCTATATCGAAAGCATAAATGAATAATCATGCACTGTGTGGAATTTTACTTATTTTCTAGGGAATGATTAAAACCCTCTATGATAATCCAATTATGTTTACTGTTGGCACTATAGTATAGAGAAGGGCAGGGCTTGGCCTTATGCACGAGTCTCCAACTCAGCTGTGACAGAGGCTGTGCAGCTTATGAAAGGACTGCAGTTAAATAGGAATCCTGGGATCTAAAAAGCTGAGGTGGGCAAATTCTTCTTTGCCCCTCCCTCCCTTTTCTTCCTCCCTTTTCACTTTTTCCTTCTTGACTCACTCCTTTCCTTCTTCCTTTTGTCCTCGTCTTTTCTCCCTTATTTTTATTTGGGGTAGGTCTCAATCTCTTGGGCTCAAGCATTCCTCCAGCCTCAGCCTTCGAAAGTGTCAGGGGTAGAGGTGCACACCACCACAGCTGGGTCAGAGAACTTTTCTTTAAAAGGCCTAAAGAATATTTAAATATAAATATTTCTGTGTTAGTCATCTGATCTCTGTCTGTCTTTACAAAACAAAATAAAAATTTGATGATCTCTTAGTCTGAAGTGAACATACACTTTAAAACTCATGTATTTTTTTTTTTTAAAAAACCAGTACAGCGAAACACTTCTGTCAGTTGCTTTTGCTCTGTGTCATTTGTGTCAAAGGCAGACATTGTTAGCATGTTGATGGTAGCACAGGTTGAATATCTGTAATCTGAAAACCTGAAATCTGAAACTTCTGAGTGCTTATATTCAAAGCTTATGGATTTCAGAGCATTTCAATTTGGGATTTAGGAATATTCAACTGGTAAAATCCATGTAAATATTTCAAAATCTGAAAAAAAATCTGAAAAATTTGGTTTAAACCATTTTGAATATGTGCTACTCAGCCTGTATTATCAACACAGACTATGTGAAACTAGATTTTTCTGGCACCATAATTAGGTTGGTAGGTCATGCTGATGACCAGAGATGCATACGAACCTGTGAAGCAAGGAGCAACCGTACAGTGAGATCTTGCTCCACTGTAAATGTCATTAGTGCTTCACTGAGGATCACTGATCTAGAGATATTCGCAGTTTGAAGGTTGACAGGCTTTTCCTGTAAATGACCAAGTGGGACAAATAACTAATTTAGCTTCTGCTGATCCTAATGTGTGGCTCTGGCGTTGTAGTGCAATAGCAGTCAGAGATAGTATGCAAACTAAGAGTGTGGCTGTGTTTCAGTAAGACTTTACTTACAACAAAGGTGGCAGTTGGACTTGGCCTGAAGGCTGTAGTTTGCTGACTGCTCTTCTACATCATTAGAGAGTCAGATATGTAGTCAAGGAATAGAAAACATTTCTCAAATATGCAAAAGTCAGGAGGGGTGGAATAGAAAAGAATTATAATATTAAATTTTTCTGCAATCTTTAATTTGATTTTTTTTTTTTTTTGTTTTACAGCAAGCACATTTTTTTCTTTAACCGTTTCTTTTCTGCTTGCCTTCAGTGCTTTGGGTTAAATTTTTTTCCTGAGAGGAAACGTAGTATTGCATATTGCTGATTTTTATTTGGAAACACCGACAAGAGAAATAGTTTTTTTTAAAAAATAAATTACATGAATTTGCTTTATGTTCCATTTAAAATGTCTTTAAAAAATATGAACTGCCCCCCACTCTAGGTAGTCAGATTGCGTGTTAACTTTTTTTAATCATTCATTCATTCATTCATTCATTCATTCATTCATTCATTCATTTATTTGGTACACAGTCTCCCTATGCAGCCCAGACTCGTAGTCGTCCTCCTGTCGCAGCTTCCTAGTGCTGGGATTACAGGTGTGCGCCACCAGGCCCGGGGCTGGGGATGGCAGCAGCGTCCTTGCACTTACCTGGCAGGTGCTAGGCCACCTAGCGGTCTCCCCAGCCCGGCCCGCAAGTTAACTTTTTGAGGGATTTATATTTTCCTTTATACTTTCTATTTGCATGGCTAATTTAAGTAAAGCAAGACCTGGTGTCTCCACTGGTCACCTTCTGCCTTTAACTCCACTGCCTGAAAGGGCCTGGCTTTTGCAGCTGAAATGTCTGAAGTTCTCTTTCTGTGAAGTTATTTAGTGGAAAGATAAAGCATCTCATCTGTTGGTGTCTTAAGCATGAGGTCTGGATAGCAGGGGAGCATGTTTCACATGCATTCACATTAATGTAAGTCTTCCTTTGTGTAAGTTTTCTCCTTTGTAATCTTATCAAAGCCACTTGATTTAAGTTGTTATTTCCACAGTTAAGGATTTAAGTTACTTTATTATGATTTCCTCAGTGACATTTTAATATCTATGTCTTGTTGCTTAATACTGAGGCTGGTTTATTTCAACTAGCTTTATTGTGTTTTTGATAATTTGGATGCTATTTCAAAATGTGTGATTTTGCTGATTAATTCTAGCATTTAATTATAATATTGTTAAGTTTTAGATAGGAATTTGATAAAAGGTAGCATAGATTACATTTAGCAGATTAAATAGGTCATCTGAATGAATTATATATATTAGAATGGATTGAGTAGGTTTAATATAGGAAATAGCACAAGGGTATAATTATGAGGCAGTCTTTCATAGGACTGATAGATTATGGCAATGTTTTGGTGTCTTTGAATTTTAATTTGATGTCATAATTTGAACATTTTTCTGTTTTCATTTTATTTTACTTAACAATGTGATGTACTTTTTAAGTTTGTTTTTTCCTTTTCAATGTTTGGTGTCATACACAATATGCATCTCTTTGGTCTTTCCTAGCTGAATTCTGTTGGTGGTAGCATGTGCATGGAGTATGGTGTGTCACTTTTAAAAGACATTAGCCATAATTTTTCCTCTTTACAAGGAAGTGAGCTAAAGTGAGCACAAGCTTTTTTTGCTTTAGCAGAGAAATAAACAAACTTTCTCAGTTGTTTATATAAAAATAGGAAACCAATAACAGTTTTTATCAATTATACTTTACATATTTTAAATTTATATCATCAATAAAAGTAGAAACACTTGTCCTATTGTAAATGTAACATTTTCAGAAAGTAGTCTGTAGATCCTAGCAAAATCTATGTGGCCCATTATTGATAAGTCCTGTTTGAGCCTTGGCAGATTGGTTGGTGGTTAGCATGCTCTACGCAGTCAGTAGTAAGCAGTGGAAAAGGAGTGGAGCGGTTAGGTGAAGTTAGGCCCAAGCCTGACTTTATTTGGTAATGTCGTAGTTGACTCACAAATACTCTTCGCTCTACCTGGTACATGAAGACGTTACACAGTGATCTACTTGCTAAGACTGTGCTCAGGGTCATTTATGTAATACACTTTTACCTATAGAAAATTTAATTAACTTTATAAGCAATTCATAGCTCATTTTCAAAGGTAACAAATATGAGAATTTTATATTTAATTTTTCACCTTTATGGATGTTTTTCTCCATAAATACTGTATAGTAAATTCTATTTTTATAAAAATAATAATGTGAAGAAGTTTAGAACCCAAATCTCAAGACTTTTTCTTATTTAATACCATGGACTATTCTGCTGCCTGTTTTTCTTAATCACAGTCCTAATTTATTCTGATTCTTTAAAATGATAACTTTTAACAGATTAATATGTAACTGTACTCAATTTCAACTTACTTTTTTTGCATGCTAGGGTTTAAAAAAAAGTTCTTTCCCTTAACTAAAGTTCCTTCAAAATTATTTTAACATAACTTTGCAATCTGTTGTGTGTATTGTTTTCTTTTCTTCCACTTTGACCACAAATTCCCTCAGGTCTCCGCTGGTTCATCCTCCAAGCCATGGATGCCGCTCGACTCACAACAGCCCAATTCACACTGCTACTGGCTCACGACTTACTCAGAACTTCTCTGTGTCTGTTCCCACTCTCATCTATACTGGTACGAGACTGCTCAGACTCCAGAGCTGGGGAGAGGCAGGCCACGGGCAGAGTGGTCGCAGAGGCAGGCAGGCAGGTAGCGTAGGCAGGTACCACACGTCTTTGCTTCTTCCTTTTCTTACTCCAAGCCCAGCTGCACTGAAGAACTTCTGTATTTAGCCACCACAGAGGCTCAGACTATATGGAAGTGAAATTATTTTTCCAGCTTCCGAAGTCTCTTCCACAGATCCTCTCAGAACCCTACCTGACACATAATATATATGGCAAATTTTGAGGAGAATCCTTCAGTATGTGTTTTGGTAATTAGTTTTCCATTTATCTAAAAATGAATTGACATAAGATGTTAAATAAAACAGATGGCAAGGCTTCCAATTTGCTAATTTTCTTCATGTACAAAACTTGTTACAGTAGGGTCTGTTTCATTCTGTGGAAGAGAGCTGTTGGAGAACAGGTAAGCAACTGTTTTGCATTGAATGCACTGTTTCTGCGTAGCTATGTTCATTTTCCTCTTTGCTGTGCTTTTAGCTGTGGCACTCGATGCTATAGGATAAGGAAACATTTTTCTTTCCTTTAAAGATAGCTGTGTGTGTGTGCAAATACAAGCACATTTATGACTATTTTCACACACATTTGTGGCCATCATTTTTCCTTTCGTAACTTAAAAACATTATTTAAAATACTTTGTCATATATTTACTTTTCATTTATTTCTCTTTTTAATATATTTTATTCTCTTAGTCTGTCATTTCATGCTTTTTTGCTTTTCACTTGGCTTATTAACTGTTTCAATGCAGATAATATTTATCTGGAAAATGATGAATGGTGAAACAGCAATTGGTTGTCTTTGGCCTCATTCCCAGCTCCACATTAAGAAATGACTGCTGGCCCTGCCCCAGCACTGTCCTGGTGTTTGGATCATGCTGCCAACTGTCAAGCCCTTTGGCACATGATTACTTAATATTTTTCCACCTTCTTCTGGCAGGATTCCCTTCAATGAAGATCCCAACCCCAATACTCACTCATCAGGACCCTCAACCCCTCTGAAAAACCAAACTTATTCCTTTTCACCTTCCAAGTCCTACAGTCGGCAGTCCTCTTCTTCTGACACAGATTTGAGTTTGACTCCCAAAACTGGTAAGGCGCTTCCACCCACCCTTTGTTTTCTGTTTTTGTTTCTTATTAGCCTTCCATCCAGTCTCTCCTCCTGTTTTTGGCGTTTAAGATAAAAGATGATGTGAGTAGTGACCATGTTCAGTTACAGCAACTAAAAGAGGAAAGTTGTTTATAGTTCAGGCATTGAAGATGAGCGTTTTGTTAGCTTCATCATAGTGTAGGTGTCAAATCCATGATTTATTTTTGTGTTGAGACGTTTTTCATTTCATGCTCAAATTAAGAGGAATAACATCTTAAAGCATGTGACTGGAAAGTAACACCCAGTAACTTGCAGTTAAATTCTTCTTGATGTGTAAACAGTGTTTAATTCATTGTTTCTGCCCATTTCTGGGTTTAATTCTAGAATGTTATTATAAAAAAGTCTCAAAACTGAAATGGTTATGCTTGAGTATATCTTTTCATCTGTTACAGTATTTAAAACATTCGGCATTATGAGTTTCATTTTGGAGGTTATCTTGAATATTTTTCAATTTACATTATAATTTTTTCATGCTCCCATTTGTATCTTTCTGAACAGTCTTTATGGGCTCTTAGAAATATGTTTTATAATAAAAATTGATAAAAAGTTAGTTTCCTAAAGTAACATTCACTTACTTAAATTTAGGAAAAAATTAAAAAAATTTGAAAGACTGATTCATAATTTTGTAAACAGGATTTTGTTAGGTAGTCCCCATTAAAGCATAATTGCTATTTGTATTCTAATTTATCATGTTTAATAACCTTATTTTTGTGTTAGAAAAGACATTTTTAAAATGATCCCAGATTTTGTGAAAACAATGCAAAGAGATCAGGTTCCAAATCAAGCCTGCTTGGGAAAGGCCGCAAGGAAAAGCTGCCTGCTGAGTTCTTAGGTTTTGTAAAGCAGTAAAGAAATGTTTTAGCCATATTTATGCTTATTTATTTATTGTGGAACAAGGGATTGAAGTGAGGCCCTTGTTTTTTGTTTTTTTTTTCCCCGGAACCAGGGATTGAACTCAGGCCCTTGCACTTTGCCAGGGATGCACTTATTCCACTGAGCCATATCCCTGGCCCTCATATTTATGCTTATAAAAATTAAATCATTCAAATTGAAGTAAATTTTTTTAAATTAAAAAATGAGAGATTTTTGGCCTTATTGTTCCTGTCAGTCAGCAGGAAAGACTTGGGATAATATTTGGAGAATAATTTTTCTCAGAAATAATTTTGACATGTTGATCCACCGACTATAGTCTAGGCCACTGTTCAATACTCTTAGCTTTTTTTTTTTTGTCTTTTGTCTGTCTAATTACTGATAATTTTGAAAATATTTCCATGGTGTCTTTTTTTTTTTTTTTTTTTTTTTTTTTTTGCTGCAAATGCCTTCAGGGCTGGTATCATACTTTAACATGAGATTATTTTAAGCCACCACATTGACAAAGATCTACAAGTTTGAAAACTGTAGGCAGCATTTTTTTTTTTCTTTGCTTTTTTTCCTTTCTTTTTGTTCCCCTCTCCCTCTGTCACTCCTTCCTCTCTTGCGATAGTAGGTTATTGAACCCAGGGCCTTCACAATGAGCTATATCCCCTGCTGTATATATTTTTAAATTTTGAGATGGGCTGATTTATCCAGGCTGGGATACTACCTGTGATCTTCTTGCTTCAGCTTCCTAGAATGCTGGGATTACAGATCTGCAACACTGTACATGGCTCTTTTCTTTAATTTAAAAAAAAAAAAGGCCAAGCCTAAAGAAGTCTGTCAAGTAATAAAGTGAATCAGACTTCTCTTCCCAATCAATAGTATTAGCAATGAAAACTTGTACTATTAGTTATTAACTCATTTATAAATGTACTCATGTGTTTATAAGCTGCTTCCAGATATTCTGTTTACCTATAATTATTCACTGCCTCAGTAACTTATAGAATATTAGCTAGTTTAAGTCTCTTGACTTTTGCATGAATCTTGCAATATTTTTGAATACTTCTGAAGAATATTCCTACTTCTCATAGAGATATGATGGTAAAATTAGTATTTTCTTAAATTACTAAAATAAAAATCAGGATGTGCATCAAGATTCTGTGCTTTCTAACATACCTATTTACTAAATTAGTATCTTGAGAAATAGAGTAGAATGAGATAAGCTGATTATAATTGATTTATTTGTTTGTAATCTGGGAAGTTAAAATAGAACCAAGACAATAAGTCATAGAATGAGAAAGTTCTTTTTTCTAGTTATTGTTAGTGCGGTTGCCCATTTTTCTGACTGATCTCCTCTTTTTATTGACTTAATTTTTCCCCAGTACTGGGAATCAAACTCAGGACCCTGTGTTTGCCAGGCAGGCACTGTGCTGCTGAGCTGTATCTCCAGCCCCTGGTCTCCTCTTTTTAAAAATTTCTTATTTTTGTAATGTTAACATTTGATATTTTATGAGCTTTTATGTTTTTTCCCCCAAGTATTCAAGTAATAGAATTTTTTAATGTTAGTAATAAAATACGTATGTGACACCAATTATACCTAAATTTGACTTTTTAAAGTTAGATTGCTTACCGTAGTTTTTCTCATGCATAAGATATTTGACCTTGAGGATATTCCAATCTCAGTAAATATTTATAGCACTATGATCAAAGCATGAAAAACTTGAAAAGAAAAAGGAAGTATTCATATAGACCTCAAAACTGAAGACAGAGGAGTTAATATTTACTTTAATAATAGTAGTTGTCTACCTAATGTGATACTCAGTATTTGATCTTTAAAATGGGTATTCAGTTAAAACACCCTGGAGTATATTTTTTAGCAGTAAAATATGAAGGTATTATATTTTACCACTTTACATGAGTGTTTGTACTATGTTTGAGGCAACAAGTTTCTGACTTTAACACTTTGAAAATGTGGTGTATTTTAAACTCATGAATTTTTAAGAAAGAGTAGGTGATTTACATATTTTGAAGTCAGTTGAAAGTGCTTAAAATGGCATAAAGTTCTCAGTGATTTGAAAAACTAATGCAGAATTTGAGAAGGTTTTTGTTAAGCTGTGTCTTTCATGTGCATTATGTTGGATAGATGATTTGCTAGTTGACTATGATGAGTGCAATTTGTGTATACATTTAAAAAATCATTTTTACTGTTATGTTTTGCTTCATCATTGCTTTCCTTATCCCGCATTTTCTGATCGTCTTCTGAACCTGCATCTTTTCTCTGCCGATTTCCTCCACAGCACCTTCCCCACAGGGACCTAGGATTTACCTGTGTCCCAGCTCCCCCCCTCTCTCTTGTGGTTCCCTTCATCTTAAAAAGTCCTGTCTCCTCCTCTCGGACTCTAGCCTTGCCCCTCATCATTGTAGCCTTGGCAGCCCTGTTCTGAGGAAAAGTGTTTCTTTCAGTGAAGAGCTGTTCCTGGCAGCTTCTGGTAGGATCACATTATGTCAGCTTTTTAACCCCTTAATTTTAAATCATCTTTAAAAATGATTTCCTACTAAAATGAACTATTGCTTATTTTCTATTAAATTTCTATTAATTTTCTTACTAGTAGGCAGAGTTAAACAGAATTAAAAGGATACCACTGAGAACTACATGATTGGAATATTTGGTAAATTATGCATGAAAAATTGTATGTCTAAGGACATACATCTGGGTAGTTGCCACAGTTACCTAGTTGTCACTACTAGTGTTTCGGCGTCAGGTGCTGTACTTTCCTTCCCTCCATGCCAACTCCACTCACCTTGGACCTGCACCATCGTTTTGCTAAACCACATGGGTAACATCATAAATTATTCTGTTTGAATCAGTTTAAGTCTCATTTTGCTGCTATTCTTTCATTATCCTTTTTTTTCTGTCTACTGCATTAATTAATCAAATTATTCTGCTATATTTTCTGATGTTTTACTTATCACCACAAATTTACACTTTATTTTGTGGCTTTTAATATGCTTCATATAAAGAACTTAGTTTTATTTTTGCTTAGCATTGTATAGTCTCTAAAACTGTTTAGGTTACTGTAAGAAAAATAAATTTGTTTTGTTTTTCAAGAACAGAATGGGACTATACACATGCTAACTTTTGTTTCCTTATCCAAGAACAGCTAAAAATGTAAAATTAAATTAGTTCCTTTTTAAGTGGTTACAACAAAATTGACTGTATGCTTACTGAGTTTCAAAAGATGGGATTGATTCTAGTCTATAGGTTAGCTTGTCACCCATTGCATTTTCTATAATTCTTAGGCCATAGTTGGTCTAGTGGTACTATCAGAACAAAAAAAATAAAGTAGGAGAAGAAATTTAAAATTATGCTTTAATAAATACATCTGAGCGTTTTCATCCATAACTATGTACATTTGTGATGTGTTTGTTACATGTTTGTGAATTTTACTTTTTATTAAAAGAATTTATATTGAGTTTTAGAATGCATGTTGATAAAAATAAAATTAATTCTATTTTGTCATATGCTTAGAAATGAAAAGTTATTAGAATATGAATTTACTGTATTGAGAAATTACCTAAATATCATATACTTTAGAGAATTTTAGTATATTTTAAACAAGCAGTTAGTGCTTTTCATCTTTTTATTTACTTTTAATTAAACATTTAATATTTCTGTTCTAGTGTTTTTAATTTGTTAAAATAGTAAGTTATTATTTTGATTTTTATTATGACTCAATTTTTAAATGTAGTACATTATACAAAGCTTCATCCCTTTAGCATAACTTTTCTTATAATTCTTAAAACCAAATTGAATGTAAAAGTAGCTGTCAGCCCAACTTTGACATCTTCTCTTCAAATGTTTGTTGCTCTATTAAGTACTTTAGTTATTACCTGAAATACTTAATGTATAAATTATTTTATCGTATTTTCATTTGTGATTATTTATGAAGATGAATACAGTTAAACTTTGTTCCTATAGTTGGCTTTTGTTTTGTCTTGTTTTGTTGTTTTCTCCGTGCCAATCTCCTATAGGAATGGGAAGTGGTAGTGCTGGAAAAGAAGGAGGCCCGTTTAAAGCTCTTTTAAGACAGCAGACGCAGTCAGCATTGGAGCAAAGGGTAAGAGTCTCTTCACAGTCTGTTTTTACAATAACTATAGTTTTATTATCTTATGCTTCTCTGTACTTACATACTTCCATAGCTGTTTTGGTTAAATTGATGGTTCTACAGTTTTGAACCTCAAATATATTTAAGATACCAAAGTCATTTGTTTTTGAATATTTACTTTTGGCTTGAAAGTATTCTATAACTGTTGTCTTCTAATCTCCTCTTAGAAATACTTTTTGGAACTATCCATTCAGCATTTTCCATGTTTCCATTATAGTTAGTATGTGGAAAAAGGAAATGGCTGTTTTTGCAGAAAAAAATACACCAGTAGCATTTTATTAAAAGTAATCCTTTATTATATTAATATATTTATTTGCCAAGATTATTTTTATCACTAATCTTAGGAATAAAAATGTGTATAATTTTTATTCTAAAAAATGTCTATAATTTTGCAGATTAATATAAATAATATAGTTTTATTTTAATTGTGTTTGATATTTACTTATATTTGTTGAGTGGGAAAATGAATAGTTATAGTTTTGGGATGATTTCTCTCTCTTTCTCTTTCTCTCTCTTTTTATAAACCTCGTTGCTAAGGGAGGATCCCCTCATAGGTTCTGTAAAAGGCGGGTATGTTTCTCAACATGTGTGAGAGCCTATTTCTTGTAGAAGCTTTTCTAGCTTTACTCTTAGTCATTTATTTCAGCTTTTAACAAATGTTGCCAGCTTTTTTCTTTTCATATTGCTCATGTTTAAAAATTTAATACTATGCTGAGTTTCATTGCTGTTCTTTTTTTTCTTCTGCTAATACAGTGCATGATTTCATGTGCCGTGTCAGTTATTTTAAGGCACAGGGCCATAGTTGTCAGAATGTCTGATTTGGAAGCTGTCTGCATCTATAGAATTTTCTTTTATGTTTCATTTTACACCAGCATTTGGAAGAAAAAAGGTGAAACACAGTAAACACCTATAACAGAATATATTTCATGAAATAAAGATATTTGTTTTCGAGTGTTTGGTTCTTGGGAATAGTTTTTTTCAGATTCAGTTAGAAAGCATACAATTTTTCTATACTTTTTTCATCCTGCTGAAAGTGTCCATGTATACACGATTTACATTTTAGAAGAGCTGGAGAGAGCCACATTGAATTAAACAGTAATATAATGAGCTGTTTGCTTCATATCCTGTTGAGCAAGTTGCTTTGTATCTACTCCTGCGCCTTGCAGGCATGCCACCCACTGCTACCCACGGACCGACCTGGACATTAGGGCATCTGTTAAAAGCGAATATAGTGAAAGACTAAAGACACTGAAGAGGGTCAGAGTGAAGATGTGTGTTCATTTGTAATTATTTTACATTACAGTGTTCTTATCTTTGCTTGCTGCTGTATTTATGTTCTCTATAGTGTCCTTTCCACTAGGAATAGGGTTTCTTCTAATCTGTTCACTATTGTGTGATTCCAATCAGCAGAACAGCTTGGCCTTGAAATTGGATATAATAAGGTTTTGCGTATCTGATGTAATTTTACTGTCTGTACTAAATACCTTTAAAAGGATTTCACCTTCAAGGGGAAGAAAGTTAGAATCATTTTGGATTGAGTTTAGATGAAATATCTATTTTCAAATATGCTTTTAAAAACTTCTTAAAATATTGAGCATGTTAGCACATTGGGCATGTATTTCTAGATAGTCTTCAGAGAATAAAAATCAAAGATATGGAGAACTATTGTTTTCACTTACAGTTTTGTAAAACTGAAGTTTGTAACTGCTGTGGCACTGCACTACATTATTTCCCCAGCAACAGCAGTTACTTAATTTTATAAAATTGAAAAATGTTTTTGGTACTGGGGATTGAACTGAGGACCTTGTGCTTGCCAGGCAGGCACTTCAGCCACTGCGCTATCTCCCCAGCCCTTAAGTTTATGAATTTATTTTATGATTCTATTCATAGTAAGTAACAGAGGTGTTATTATTTCTGGCTCTCCCATTATCCTGTGGCTGCCACAAGAGTGGCTTCTGGTTTTGGAGAAGCTCATAGAGGAGTATGACACATTCTCCCCATATGTGTTCAGATAGGTGTCATTCTGCCATTTGATCACATCATTCAAATCTGCTTATGTGCTTTTTAAATTCAGTATTGCTATCCTATGCTAAACCCTTAATAAATCCTATGGATTTTTTTCCCCCCTTGAGGAAAGAAAAACTTTAATAGTCAAACTTCTTTTATTTAGTTTCAAGTTCAGAAAAGAACAATGAAGTTACTTTTTAGGTTCTGGGGTGCATTTTTTCTTCAGTGAAAAACCTAGTTAAGTAGCCAACCATTGCAGTGCACTTCCATAATCCCAGCAGTTGGGAGGCTGAGGCAGGAGGAATGCTGTGACTTTGAGGCCATTCTCAACTACATAATGAGTTTAAGGCCAGCTTAAATTAGAATACTTTGTCTCCAAAAAACAGAGAAAGGAAAAAGAAACCTAATTAATGTATTCTAGTATTTCCCCAAAGTTTTTTACTGTAGAGCCTTCCTTTAAAAATGCCTAGTCATAGGAATATAGTTTGGGATACATTGAAATAAAAGCAAACTTGTGGTGAATTGTGATCTCTTTGAAGTAAGGTCAGTGGTACAGAGCTTGTTGTTGGAGTCTGGCATGGAGTTGTTCCTTCTGTGGTGCTGGGTGGCTGAGCCCGGGTCCACCGCATGCTAGGCACGCACTCTGATGGAGCTTTATTCTGACCTTTTTTGGTGTTTGGAGGTGGAGTCTCCCTGAGTTTCCTACTCTGGCCTTGAACTTGGCAGTCTTCGTGCCTCACCCTCTAGAGTCACTGAGATTGTGAGTGCGTGCCCCTGGAATTGTATATCTGGAAAGTTCACTCTCTTCTCTCGGGATAAGAGTTTTTGATTTAAAAACATTTGAGTATCTTTTAAGTAAATTCTTAAATACTGTCTTGAAAATATATGCCCTTATGTTCTATTGGTTTTTCAAGTAGTCTATCTTTAAGTACACACCATTAAATATTTATATGCCTCAAGTCTCTGGTTGATGTCATAGCAGCAAATGAAGTTCATCTGTGGGAACAGGGAAGGATGCTTTTTGTTTCTGAGGCACAGGATCTTGCCGTGTAGTTTGGGATGGTCACGAACTCATGTCAGTCTTGTTTTAACCTCCTGAGTGCTGGGATTACAGAAGTGTGCCACCACACAGGGCTGAAAGATAGTTTAATTATAAGGAGTGTCTGAAGAAATTGTCCTCTCTAGTTCTGAAGTTCACATCTAGACATTCAAAGTGATACATACCTGGGCTGATCTAAAGGAAGCTCTCCTTTTCAATAGAAAAAAATCTATGATGTCATCAAATAAAATAAAAATATTATAGATTAAAATCAAATTTTAATAGGTAATGAAAATTAACAAGGAATCAGACAGTAAGATTTGTTGCTCAAGAAGAGGTTGGCGGGCCAGGGAGATGGCTCAGTGGAATAAGCGCGTCCCTGGCAAGCGCAAGAGCCTGAGTTCAATCCCCGGTTCCGCCAAAAAAAAAAAAAAAAAAAAAAAAAAAAAAAAAAAAAAAAAAAAAAGAAGAGGTTGGGGATAAAGAGTGCCCTTGGCTTCAGTTTTTCATTTAAAACATGGAGATAATAGTACCTCCCTGTGAGGATATGGGAAAGACCATATGGCGCGGTTTTGAAGTACTTTCCACCAGAGGTGTGGCAGCATCCTGGTTGCGGTGACAGAGATGACGGGTACTTAACAGTCTGCTGTCTATTCCAGCAGTCATTCTTCCAGTTAGAGAATAGTTTGAAGATGGAATCATCAAATTAAACACTTTTATTTATTGTAGGTTAAATTCTGTGTTTTAAAAGTGAACTGGTGTGCTGATTATTAGTTCACTGGAAGTTGTCAGAGCCTGTTGTGTCAGTAGACTTTCTCTTGTAAGCTGGCCGTTGCCATACAGTCTCTTCCTCTGAGCAGCTCTAGTGTTTTGCCTTTCCTTTCATTCCTTTACTGGATCTCCGGAAGAATAAAAGAGCCTGAATATGTCTGTAATACCAGGAGTTGGGAAGCTGAGGCATGGCAAGCACAAGTTCAGGGCCAGCCGTGGCTGCTTAGTGAGTTCAGAGTAGGAGTGGATTACATAGCACAACCCTGTTGCAAAACAGAACAAAGCAGAGCAAGAATACTGAATGGAGTAGTCATTTGGATTCATTTTTAAAATACCCCAAATCTTTTATGTGTATATTTTCCAGTATGTGAATTTACTTTCTTAGTTTTTGAAGTATAGTAGTTTTTTTATTTAGGTACAAAAATTTTATTTAGCAGTATAAAGGTTAAATAAAACTCCTTTTTTTCCCATGGGACAATCACGTGCCTGAAGTATTTTGAGAAAATTATAGAAATGTTCCTAAAATTGAGCAAAAACAAAAGAAAATATCCTTGAAGACCCAACTTACTAGGAAAAAACTTTTATTTTTAGTAATAAGCCCACCCAGACATTTGTCACTTAAAACATACATTTAGAAAACTCAGGTGGAAATGAAGATGCATCTGTTTATTTTCTATATTTTTAAACCCTAGATTCCCCTTTCAGCTTCTCATTTCTCCTCTCTTCTCTCTGCTTGTCAGCTGGGCCAGTGAAGGGCAGTTCCATAGACTGGGTCTCACTATATTCTTTTTTTTTTTTTTTTTGATGTATTTGGTACTGGGTCTACATTGTCTCACTACACAGATTAGACTCATAGTGATCCTGCTATTTTCAGCTTTCCAAGCACTGGGATTACAGGCACGTGCCACCATGCCTAGTCTCATTTGCTGTCTCTGCGCCCCATGGGTGGGGCAGGTGTGGCATGCCAGGGATTAAACCCTGGTCCCTGTACCTTCCTAAGCAGGTGCTTTAGTTGCTGAGCTATCTGACTGGCTCATTTATTTTCTTACAGTACGTAGATTTTTTTCTTGCTCTTATGAGAGACTATTTCTAAGTTCTGAATTTAAGTATAAAATAAATGTATTTTAAGGTTTTGGTTTTTTTTTTGGCTATTTCAGGCTGCCTTAAGGGCAGGTCTGTTCTGGCTTGTGGAGCTAGGGCTCCAACCATGGTCCTGTGCACCTGACTGCATTTGCCCATGTGGCGCTTTAAACACCTGAGCCATCCGGCAAGCCCCCAAGTAAATTTATTTTAAACATATTTTTTAATACTTACCTTCCTGGGTTACTGAAGTATAAAGGATTGTTTGCCTTTTGCTAAATGATTCCAAGTTGCTACGCTTTGTGAATTATGCTTCTGTCAGTTTGTAGTCTCCGTGCTTTAAGCAGCCTATCAGTACTTTTTGCTTTTATATGTGTCAGCTTTGGGCAGTATTCTGTATCTCTCCTAGCTTTTATTTGTTGCATTTAATCTGGTGCAGTTTCAAAAATAAGATGATGTGCTTTAGAATTATGTGTTCTTAACACGTATATTTATATGTATTATATATCATAGTATGAATATCATCTATGGAGAATAAAATGCATGAGCCTTAATACTTGCAAACATACTAGTGCTTTTGACTGCGGAGAGCCCTGTTTTGCTTATTTTCCAGCTCTCTGTTATGTTCAAAGTAGTTGAGACTACTGGTAAGTGACTTTTGTTTCAGGGAATTCCCTTAATCTTGTAGCCAGCCAAGTTGGACATCAGATCCTCTCACTTTTATTTACTTTGTATGATGTGAAGGGCCTGTATTTATGGGCAACCAGAGGAGCTCCCCCTTCTTCCTGGGGAGTACAGTATTTCAGTGAATTTCCTCTCACTTTCTTGGGTTCTTCTCCTTGTCCCTTAAATTTTATGTCTTTTAATAGGAAAGGGAGATTAAAATTTGGAAAAGCTTATAGAATTGTATTGCCTCACTGACTTTTATTACTTACTTACCTGTCTTACTGTCTTCACATGAGGCCTTTCATTTGTTCCCACTGTCCTGGTGGTGTTGGAATAGGGCCTGTAAATAATTCCACACAGTTATTCTCTGCCCACTCTCAGCTGCCATTTGTGCTTACCGTCTTTCCTTCCTCTTAATGCACGCTGTCCAACCCCCACTCCCCATCCTAATCGCATTTCCCCAGGCCTTTGGAGGCTTTACCATGAGCTGTATTTGGGGTGCGTGTGAAGAGACTTCTGCACTGAGAGATACGTAATGGGTCAGAGTGTGGCTGGCCAGCCCACCCATCCCACTGCGCAGTGCATCAGCGTAACGATGGAGAAGACAGACAGTGTCCCGAGTATCTTAAATTGGAGCTCTTCAAAACATTTTTCTTCGTTTTTTTGTAACATTGTACATATGGGAAGATGAATTTGGAACTCTTATCAGTGGAATTGCAAAGAATATGTAACACATAATAAATAGGTAGCCTTTAATTCAAGGAAAAAGTACATTTCTATATGACAAACTTTTTAACATGCTTTTTTTTCTTTTCTATACTTCACAGTCAGTTGCATTATCCCCCTTTTCTTTGTACTAGGAGTTTCCGTTTTTTACTTTGACGGTATTCCCTCCTGGCTTTCTCGTGCACGTTGGCGGTGTTGTCAGCGCACGCTCTGTGAAGCTTCTGGACCGTATCCACAATCCCGGTATGCTCTCTGAAAGTTTGTTTTTATTGTTTGTCTTCATTTAGGTTGTGCATATTAGAATTGAGATTTTACAAATTTTATATGTTAAACCTTTTTGAAAGGGAAACGCAAGGACTATAAACTGACACATTATTTTAAAATATTTGTAGCTAACTTAATTTAAAATAATCAAACTGAGTAAGGGTATATTTTAGTTGATTTTCTATGCAAAACAGCAGATCTTGATTTATTTTTGGCCAAGGTACCACTTAGAGGGAATCCTTAAATCATTTTTGAGCCAGCTCTGTTCTTTGACCCAGGGAAATTTACACTTTGACCATTATGGCCTTGGTTTAAGATGTTTATTGTTTCTATTCACGATAGCCTTCTGCAGGTTATTAATTTCTTTATTCCTAAAAGGTATTTTTTTCTACATTGTAATTCTGAACATTCTATAGAATATCTAAGAATTAAAAAAAAATAGATTAACCTCTGTTAAGAATAGTAGTAGGACTTCCTCTAAGGATGGGGCCAGAGGTAGACCTAAAAATCCTCATCATTTTAGGCCCTTTGGTTGGAAATACTTTGGTGATTTTTGTAAGTCAATAATAAGCATGATAAATGGTAGAAACTTTGAAATGGAATGTGATTCTTACATTTTTTTTTTTTTTTTTTGACTAGTTCATTTCTTCGCT